TCGATGAAGCTGAGAATCAAAACAATGATTTGGAACATAAGGTACCAAAAAAAAACCCCCAAATCAAAAAAATAAACAAACACACAAAACCCAACCAATCAGAGGAAAAAAGAAAAAGAAAAGAAAAACAGAATCCAAAAAAACAAGGGTAGTGTAAGCAGCCTTTGGGACAACTTCAAGAGGTCCAACATTTGCATCATGGGGGTATCAGAAGGAGAAGAGAAAGAGCAAAATACTGGAAATCTATTTGAAAAAACAATGAAAGAAAAGTTCCCTAATTTAACAGACATGCAAGTCCAGGAAGTACAAAGAGTCCCAAACAAGATGGATACAAAGAGGCCAACTCCAAGACACATCATATGTAAAATGCCAAAGGTTGAAGGTAAAGAGAGAATCTTAAAAGCAGCAAGAGAAAAGCAGTTAGTTACCTACAGGTGAGTTTCCATAAGACTGTCAGCTGATTTCTCAAAAGAAACTTTGCAGGCTACAAGGGATTGGCAAGAAATATTCAACGTCATGAAAAGTGGGGACCTACACCAAGAATACTCTACCCAGCAAAGCTAGCATTTAGAATCAGAGGGTAGATGAAGAGCTTCCTGGACAAGAAAAAAACAAAGGAGTTCATCACCACCAAACCATTATTACACGAAATGTTAAGTGGACTTTTATAAGAAAAAGGAGATCAAAACTATGAATAATAAAATGGCAATAAATACATATCTATCAACAATTGATTGTAAAAATCAAAATAAGCAAAGAAGAACAGAGACAGAATTATTGATACAGAGTATTTTGATGTTTGCCAGATGGGAAGGGGTTGTGGGGGAATGAGTGAAGAGGTTGAGGGGATTAAAAAGAACAAATAAGTAGTTACAGAATAGCCATGGGGATATAAAGTACAGTATAGGAAATGGAGTAGTCAAAGAACCTATACGCATGACCCATGGACATGAACATTGGTGTTGGGATTGCCTAAGGGAGTTATGTTGCTGATAGAGAGGGGCAAAGGGAGGAAAATTGGGACTACTGTAATAGCATAATCAATAAAGTACAACTTTTTAAAATTCTTTAAAAACTGGGGAGGTTGTAAAATATACTCGACCAAAAGATTATATATCATTATGAAACAATATTAAATTATTTATTTACCCAAGGTGACAAAGTATCAAACACAAATACAGGCTAGCAAAATTTATTTCTTACAATAAAGAATATGAGTTTTTGAGTGATCAAGTAGCTGTTTGACACAGTATAACATAGCTGCTTTTTAAAATATACAGAATCTTTGCTTTCTAGGCAGATACAGTAAAAACTTTTTCCCTTTTAACAGACTGAGAAAGAACCAAACAAATTCTGTATTAGCTTACCTCTGATACTTAGATCCATTTATCTAAATAGATTTATTATTCTGATTACTTATGTAATTTCCTCTCAAGATCTCTCTTCACAAATCTTTGACTTACACAGACCCTCTGCTACTGAGTCTTCTTTAGTTTGCTTCTCTTTAACTCACTCAGAAAGAGGTAACTTTAGAACAAATTTTTTTTTCAACAAGTGTTTATATACCTTGTACCAGCAGTCCCCAACCTTTTTGGCACCATGGACTGGTTTTGTGGAAGACAATTTCTCCACGGAAGCAGGTGGAGACATGAGGTGGAGCTCAAATGAGCTTTGCTCACTGCCTGGTCCCTGAAAGGCCATGGACCAGTACCAGACATGATCCGAGAACTGGGGATCCCTGCCTTGTAGCTTCTGTTACCAAACCACACAATTTCTTTCCAACTTAACTAAAATTCTTAATTCTTAGAAGTCTTGATTTTGAGTGACAACTAAAAGTAAGTAATTAACATTCTTTAGATTGGTACTTTTATGAACATGTTACATAACTTCTAGAAACAGGTGGTTTCATTGGCAAACACACTCACATTTTCAAGAGATACTTCAAATAAAGTACAAGATATCTTCAATAACAGATCAGAATTAATTTTCTAGCTTCTCTTTAATAAGCAGCCAACATAGGCAAACTCAGATCAATTAATATTTCTGTTTCCTGTTATTTAAAAATATCTAGATATTTAATAATTTTCACCATTTAACCCAGCAAAACTCCAAAATTCCTAGTCACCAAAGAATTTTGAAAATTATGTTTAGATATATATATGTAATTATTACTGAAAATTTTTATCAAAACTCTTCATTTTAGTTATATCTGTTTATTAGTTTTTAACAACTTTATGAGATTTTAAAATCCATTGCTACCCAAGCCTCTTTATTGACACAGTTTGTAACAAAGGTAAATAAATAAACTTATTTCTGCAAACCCAGGCAAAATGAACATATATTTGATGTTAATAACTTTATTTTTTTTAAGATTTTATTATTTATTTTTAGAGAGAGGAGAAGATAGGGAGAAAGGGAAGGAGAGAAACATCCATTGGTTGCCCACCTGGCCCACAATCCGGGCATGTGCCCTGACTGGTAATCAAACCAGCAACCTTTGATGCACAGGTCAGTGCTCAATCCACTGAGCCACACCAACCAGAGCAATCATTTTAAAAGATATTAAACTTAAAGCAGCTTTAATATCAAGTATTTTGCAGGTCACATGATTCTGAAGGAACATTTGATGCAGTTCTTACTTTTTTGTCCTTGACAACTTTAAGGAGCCTGGAGCAGGCGCAGGGGAGATACCAGGCTTGAGATGATAGTAGTGTCAGTTTAAAAGTGCTGTTCTTTCACCCTGGCTGCTGTGCTGCAGTGGGTTGAGGGCCAGCCTGTGAACCAAAAGGTCACCGGTTCGATTCCAGTCAGAGCACAGGCCTGGGTTGCGGGCCAGGTCTCCATTAGAGGGTGCTCCAGAGGCAACCAATTGATGTTTCTCTCACACATTGTTGTTTGTGTCCTCTTTCTCCCTCCTTCGCCTGTTCAATGAAAATAAATAAATAGATAATATATTTTTAAAATACCATTTTCTTTCACTCCCATTAAGGAGAAATAGTCTCCCCTGCTGCTTTGGCAACCTGCACAGAGTTTGGGGATTAGCAATAATTGCCTTACTGTTCCCAGGACTTCAGGGGCTGGTATGGAGGGGGGGGGGCATGGGTGTGAGATCATTTATTTCCTTCTCTTTAAAACATCACTTTAAATCTTTTCTGAGTAGAATCCTTATGAGGTACAACATGAAAGCTAACATGTAAGAGATCTTATTCTATGTTCTACACCTTTGGCAAAACAATTCTAATTGATTAATGACTTACAGCTGTAAGTTGACTAGTCAGCTAAAATGTGACCTAATGGACTCTGATGGGATTGAGACTGAGCCGCTCCTTTTCAAAGCGGGAAAACAAACTCTAAAGCAAAACCCAAAGTTCAAATACACCAGTACTCCAAAAGGTGGGCCTGGGACTAGCCATAAAATCTAATATTGGACAACTTCTCCTCTCAGACAACAGAGGAGAGAAACAGGAGGTGCAGACTGGACCGTGTCTGGGGGTGAGTGTTTGGGTTCCTTAGGATCTGGTGGACGCCATGATGGAAAGGAGGGAGAGGTGGCTCTAGAGGAACTAGGTCTAGTCTACCGGACCCCAGAGATGCCCTCTGAGGTCCAGCTTGGGCAGGGCTGGCATTTAATCAAAAGCCTCAGTCCACACTCAGATTCCTTCCTGGAACCATCCTAGGAAGGGTAGACTCTGCTCTACGGGAGGACAGGCCCATCCAGTGAGTCATCTGTGATGAGGACTGTAAACAGAGGGCTTACGGGTCCAAATGGCACGTCACCCTTCTTCAGCACCCATGTGTTCATCGGGTGAATGTTTGCATAAATTCGCCTTCATACCTGCGTAACACACCTGTGTAAAGCTTTATCTTCACTGGGCTTTCCTTCTTTTTTATCTGTTTACAAAAGTTTCTCATGCTCCTTTGATCACGCTCCTTTGTAAATAGGGACCAGCCCATTGCTACTGGGAGGCCCAAGTGGTACTTCATGGTGAGAGATCACTCTCAGATTCAGCAGGTCAGGGTCCCGATCCTGCCAACCCTCCTCGACCTCAGTGGCTGTGTCCCCTCTGCTAGGTGGGCTCCCTCTCTGTGCCCACCTCACCCTGGAACCCAGCCACCCTTGGATGCTGAGTGAGGGTCACAGGGACTCCTCTCCTGCAAGCGCCCCGATTCCATTCCCGAGTCTCCGGGATTTTGTCTTTTGCCTGCTTCCCTGCCGTCTGTCAGCACAACAGTCCCATGAGTGCAGGAGGTTGCTCCGTCAAGTTGTCTGTGTGCCCAGAACCCACAGCGGGACATGGCACAGACCTGATGTGCAGAGCAGTCATGAGTGTACAAGTGATAATGGTGGCTGATGGTGATGTTAACATTGTCATCTCTACCACTTCTCCAACGAGCGACTTGGAGAAAAGGCCATTGGTCGTCTAGCCTTTCCCAGGACGCAGGTTGTTATGAACACAAATAGGTTTCTTCCAGATGCTCTGTCACCCGCACCCTTCCCCTCTCCTTTGGCAGCCTCTGAGTGTTCCTCGCCTCGTCCAAATCCCAGGGGATGGCTGGTGAAAGTGCAGGAGCAATGCTGACCACAGCATCACTGATATTCAGCACCTGCTGGGGCCAGTCCTGAGCTGGCAGCTGACTCCATGCCACTTTGCAGGCAGGATGCCAAAGTCCAGGGATCCCAGGATGATGCGGAGCCAGGTCAGGATGTCCCTCCCCAGGCAGCACTATGGCTGCTTCAAGGGCATCGGCCCTCTCACTCCTAGCTGCTTGGACAGGGGATACTGGCTCTCACTTTTCTGGTTTGGAAACTAGGCTCAGTGAGTTGGCAAGCTGGAGGCACCAGCTCTAAAAATCCCCAGAGCTGGAGCTAGGATGGGGCATGTGTTATGGACCTGAAAAGGGAGCCAAATATCACCTCTAAGCCTCAGTTTCCTCATGTGGAAGAAGAAGCAACTTCTGCGGGACCACCGGAAATTTCTAAATGCCCCACACTGTTCCAGGTGCCAGGGGAGACAACGAGGAGACCCCAGACCAACAGAGATCTCCTGAGGCAGGCTGAGGTAAGTGCTGAGGTTCGTGTATTCATTCAACAAACACTCGTTGAATGCCCACTTAAGTGTCTGTCCCGGAGAGGTCCCTTCACCCGTGCACAGCCCCGTGAGTTGGGGACTGTTCAGATGCCCTTTTACATCTGAGGAGACTGAGGTCTGGACTGTGGAAGGCACACAGCCAGGAAGTGATGGAATCAGTGTCCAAACAAACCCTGGAGTCGGGTTCTGGAGTCTGTAACCCTCAGGGACAGGCCAATAAGTGTTTGCTGAATAGCTAAGTCCTGTCTTGGGTCTAATCCAGAACTTCCCCGACACACTGGAAAAGAGACCCTCAAGTTTAGGAAAACAGCACAGACACCACCTTACCAGGCGAGAAGGCGTCCAGGGAAGCCTGGCAAAGGGACTTACAAGGGAGACCTGCGGCTGTGCCTAGAGGAGGGGAAGCTCCCAGGAAGAGGAGAGTTAGAGCTGGGGTTTGTGAGTTTGAATAAGGGTTTGCCAGGCATAAATTGAATCAATTTAATTTTTTACTCGTAAATGTATTCATTCAAACACTCCCTGCTCTCCCCACGTGTCTGCCTTGTGCTGGGTGATGCCAGACCCCCGGGTTTTGGAAGACAAAGCCAGACACAGCCACCCCACCGGGTCAGGACCAAGGCAGATCTCGTGGTGGGGCTGGAGGTACCCACGGGGGAAGCAGGACTCTTCCCCAGGGTGGAAGAGGGCTTCCTAGAGGAGGGGGTGTGGAGACGAGTTTGCAGGAGGAGCAGGAGTGCGCCCGAGGAGATGGCTGTGCTGATGATACATGCCGAGCCTGGGTCTCTAAAGGGTCAGGGGCCATGCTCAGGTCAAAGGATCATTGAAAACAGTGAAGAAGCCCTGGCTGCAGTGGCTCAGTGGATTGAGTGCCGGCTTGAGAACCAGAGGATCACGGTTTGATTCCCAATCAGGGCACATGCCTGGGGTGCAGGCCAGTTCCCAGCAAGGGATGCACAAGAGACAAACACGTATTGATGTTTCTCTCCCTTTCTCCTTCCCTTCCCTTCTAAAGATAAATAAATAAAATCTTTAACAAACTAGTGAAGAAAAAGAGGTGCTGGTTGTATCGGAGCTCAGTGCCAGAGCTCAGAGCTCTCTAGAGCAGCAGGTGTTAAAGGGAAGCAGGAAGGACCCCCAGCAGCTTGCAATTGACAAAAAGGGGGTTCTCTGTCTCCACCCAGGAGGCTCCTGGGCCATCTCTGAGGCAGGGACATGAGGAGGAGCAGGCTGGGTGTGGGAAGGACGGATTCTGGGCACATGGAGTCTGCAGGGCTCTAGTTGGAATTCCCGTGCCTCAGTTTCCTTTGTAAATATGGAATCCCAGGCAGGCGCCCTGCCCCGGCACCCCCACCCCGCCCCAGCTACTGTCAGAGTCCAGCTGGGCTAGGGTGCAGGAGGAGTCCGGGTGTAGGGGTAAGGTTGGGGGTGAATTTCAGTATTTTACCAACTTGAGCAACAGCAGGCTGCAACCAGGTGTGGGGTCCACAGGTGGCTCAGGAAAAGTGCTTGGCCCATCAGGATCTTCAGTGAGTGTTATTCTCCCTGGAGCTGCCCTGGGGATCTCGTCGGATCAGTTCCAAACCCTGCAGTCCAGGATGAGGTGTCCGAGGTCCTTGCCACAGGTGGGCCTGGCTCTGGTGCTCTGCACCTTCACTCTCCTCTTCCTCCTCAGTCTGCACCTGTCACCTCCCCAGCGCGGCCCCTGCAGGGAACTGAAAGAGCCGGGGGACACCCCCGAGGCACTGATCTGGCTCCCCAAGCCAAATGTCCCCGCGCGGGCACCCTGCAGGGCCAACACTTCCATGGCCCAGCTGCCAGACTTTGCAGAGCAGCCACAGCACGTGCGCGACTTCCTGCTGCACAAACACTGCCGGGACTTCCCGCTGCTGCAGGACGCCCCGCCCAGCAAGTGTGCGCAGCCCGTCTTCCTGCTGCTGGTCATCAAGTCGTCCCCGCACAATTACGAGCGCCGGGAGGTGGTGCGGCGCACTTGGGGCAGCGAGCGGGCTGTGCGGGGCCTCTGGCTGCGCCGCCTCTTTCTGGTGGGCACGGCCCAAGAACCTCATGAGGCCCGCAAAGTCAACCAGCTGCTGGCGTTGGAGGCGAGGGTTCATGGCGACATCCTGCAGTGGGACTTCTATGACACCTTCTTCAACCTCACACTCAAGCAGGTGGGCTGGCAGAAAGACAGTCACCTGATCTGGGCCACCTGAGCTTCCTGCCCAGATCACCATCTCCTCTGAGGGGCCCAAGGGAACCAGCAGACCCTGAACCCCACCCCACCCCGCCCCACCCCCTCTAATGTCCTCAGGGCATGCGAGGGCCTTATCTCTAGGGGAGGCAGGCAGAAAGCCCAGGCTGGCCAGAGGTTCAAGCCTGGCTGCAGGGTCCTGAAACCCCTGTTGAAATTCAGGCTCTGTGTTGCCCTTGATGATGTTCACCTCTCTGTGCCTCAGTTTCCTCAGCAGGGAAATTGGTTATTAACTGGACTCACCCACCTCTGAGGGCCACAGTAAGCATTGCGTGAGATAATATTTACGAGTCACCTGGATCAGTGCCAGACACTCAAACAACACTGGCAGTGGGGTGTGGGGATGCAGGGGCTGGACAGAGTCCATCCTGCTTTTGTCTGGTCAGTCTCCCCGTGAGGCCCCCTCTGTGCAGCGGGTACAACACAAAGACGTTTTTGATGGACAAGAACCCATGAGAGGTGGAGGGAATCCACGTGCAGAGGAGGCAGTGCAGGCTCCCAGGACCCGCCCAGGTTGGGTGGGGGCAGAGCGGTCTGCACAGACACCCAGTGCAGGTCCCTGCTCCTGGCAGGCACAGACAGGTCTGGGTTCAAGACACCAAGGGGCTACTTCTGGGTCAGGCAACCTGTTTGAGGCACCATCACTGGGCAGACTCTATGTCCTGGTCTATACATGGGGTTGAAGACCACAACTGCCTCCTATGCTCACATTAGGGACTCAAAGCAGAGCTGGCCCTCAGGACTGTATGTGGCAGGCACAAAGGTTATTTTGGAGGGAACTGAAACCAAAGTGAGCAGAGGGCCAGGACCCCTCAACAAGCCACCTTCTTAACACAAAACACCAAAGCACACGGTGAATAACAACTTGACATACGGAAATCTAGCCTGTAGGAGGCACTGAGCCCACAGCAGTGCTGGGAACACAGCATGGGTAGGAGACACAGCCCCACCCAGGGTGAGCCCAGAGTCTGGGGGTGGGGGGTGTCCACTGACCACCACACAAGCAATTCTATGACAGCAGCGCTTGGCCAGGCAGAGTGGGAAGGAATAGCAGTAAACGCAAAAGTGCGAGTCTTCCTGGCGCTGAACAGAATATCCTCTTTAGGGACCCCAGTGCTCCTGCAGGCCGGTCCTGAGATGCGGCCTGAAAGGGAACTTGGAAACCGAGGCACAGAAAGGAGAGGTCTTTTACTGAGGTCACCCCACAGGGTGGTACCTTGACCCCAGGCTGGGTTGACAGGGGGGACACAGCCTCAGCTGTGCTCGATGGGCTGGGGTGGCCAACAGGGACCTGAAGCTGATGGTCCCAGCCTTGAACCCTGGTGGCCCATCTGCCCGCCCGCAGGTGCTGTTCCTACAGTGGCAGGAGGCTCGGTGCAGCAATGCCAGCTTCGTGCTCAACGGGGACGACGATGTCTTTGCACACACAGACAACATGGTCTCTTACCTGCTGGACCACAACCCTGACCACCACCTCTTTGTGGGGCAACTGATCCAGAACGGGGGCCCCATCCGGGCCCCCCAGAGCAAGTACTATGTGCCAAAGATAGTGACACAGGAGGAGCACTACCCGCCCTACTGTGCAGGTGGTGGCTTCCTGCTGTCCCGCTTCACAGCGGCTGCCTTGGGCCGGGCCGCACGCACCCTAGACCTCCTCCCCATCGATGACGTCTTCCTGGGCATGTGCCTGCAGCAGGAGGGCCTGAAGCCCGCCTCACACAGGGGGATCCGCACTGTTGGCGTTAGGTCTCCCTCAGCACGTTTGTCCTCCTTCAACCCCTGCTTCTACCGGGAGCTGCTGCTGGTGCACCGCTTCTTGCCCTATGAGATGCTGCTCATGTGGAATGCACTGGGCCAGGCAGACCTCGCCTGTGGCAAGCAGACTTGGGTCTATGGAGGTGGTGCTGGGAACCCTAGCCTCTAGGCTCCCGTGTCCACCCCCATAGGAAGGGGTTACATCTCCCTCTCAGAAAGCTGAGACCTTTGTCCTCTGAGGGCACAGGGGAGTGCTGTGGAATGTTTGATAGTGAATATAAAAACTTTTGTGGCAAGCTCCTACACAACCTTCGAAACTCACCCGGTGCTCATACCATCTTCATCATCTTCCCTAGACTTTTGGCTGGAGGGACCATCTCTGTCCATGGCAGCTACTGGCAGAAGCACTTCAGCCAGGGTTCCAGCAGCTGCCGGTCCTTCTAGCCTCTTTGAGTCAAAGTCCTGCATCCCCTCTCCAACCTTGATCTCAGGCTGGACCTTAAACAGTGGCCAGCCTCTCCTTGGTAGGGAACCTGCAATGGTTTAATCATGGGTGGGTTCTGGCTAGGGTTCAAGGCCAACTGGGAATTCCTAGGTACACATGGAGCTGAAGCAAGAGGCACTTTTCAACCAGGGGGAAGCGTTCAGTTACCGCCCCTCCCTTGGTCTTGGACCCCTCAGATGGTAGAAATGGCCTGAGAGGCCGTGCACGGGACCGCCCCCTCTGTGTCCGTGGTGTCTGTGCTCCAGTGGCAGACACATTAGGCAGAGGGGGGAGGCAGCTATCTTTCTCAGGCTGTGGTGACTCAGGGTCTGGGCCCCCTGGCAGGACCAAGCCCCCACATCTGTGCTCAGGGAGCTCAGGGAATAGTATTGGGACCAAAATGCCTTCACAGGGCTCAAGGCCATTACACACACTCACCCCAGCGCCCAGAGGAGGAGGTGGTTCAGGTCCTCGAGTGGCCCTGAGCTCTTGTGACTCAGGACTGGGCACCCACCCCAGTGTGTCGTTCTGACTTGGGAGATTCAAGTGATCCCATGACCCTTAGTCCTGCTGGCCTTAGACAGGTGTCTGGGACTTGGACCTCACAGTCACTGAGCGGTGGCAGGGGTACTGAAGGCAGCAGAGTGTGGGCTGGAGAGTGGCTCCTTGGGGAATAAAAGGTTTTGTGAAGACTTGGTGGTAGTGTTTTTTAACTTATGTGTAAGTTTTAACTCTGATCAATCTACATTCAATTTTAAAAGTTTCATTTCCAGTAAATAGTACACCAACAGAGAGACAAAAAGGAAATAAAACTAATAGACAATTAAAAAGCAGTATGCACTTCCGGCCAAGATGGAGGCATAGAGGTGGAAACACTGTGCCTCCTCGCACAACCAAGTTTAAGGACAACAAAGATTTAGAGAGAAAAACACAACCAGAACAGACAGAATTTTGAACTGTATGGAAGTCAGACAACAACGAACCATTCATCCAGATCGGTAAGAGGGGTGGAATTGGCAGCCAGCAGAGAGGGGTTGCAGCAGGAAAAAGTGGAGGTTGGCAGACCCTGGCACAGGGAGCAAATGAGCAAACTCAGTGAGGCGCACAAGGCGGTTGGCTGACTGTGGACACAAATATACTCACAGATAAACCAGGCAAAAAACAGGCAGTGAGACAGACCGCACAACCCAGGGCCCCAGTGACCTTGTCTAAAGCCTAAAAACACTGATTGAATAAAAACTTGTGGGGGTTGAGGTGCCAGGAGAGGCTCCCAGCCTCACAGGAGAGTTCGTTGGAGAGACCCACAGGGTCCCAGAACATATACAACCCCACCCACCCAGGAACCAGCACCAGAAGGGCCCAATTTGCTTGTGGGAAGCAGCAGAGGGGACCAAAATCCAAGAGAGAGCAGAGTAAGTGTCATTATTCTCTCTCTGATCCCACCCCCACATACAGCATCACAACTCAGTGACTGGGTCGCCCCACCCTGGTGAACACCTAAGGCTCCGCCCCTCATTCATAACAGATGCAAACAGACCAAAACATTATGGCTCAAACAGAAGAACAAGTCAAAGCCCCAGAGCCAATACTTTGAAGTGACCAAGAGATAGCCAACCTATCAGATGCACAGTTCAAAACATTGGTGATCAGGATGCTCACAGAAATGGTTGGTTTTAGTCACAAATTAGAGGAATTAATGAAGGCTAAACTAATTGAAATGAAGGGAAATGCACAGGAAACCAATAGTGATGGGAAGGAAACTGACACTCAAGTCAAGGGAGTGAACCAGAAGGAAGAAAGAAACAACCAAACAGAAAAGAATGAAGAAACCAGATTTCAAAAAAATGAAGAGAGGCTTAGGAACCTCCAGGACATCTTGAAACATTCCAATATCTTAATTATAGGGGTACCAGAACAGGAAGAGAACAGCAACAAGTGGAAAACTTATTTGCACAAATAATAAAGGAGAACTTCCCCAGTCTGGCAAAGGAAATAGACTTCCAGGAAATCCAGGAAGCTCAGAGAGTCCCAAAGAAGTTGGACCCAAGAAGGAACACACCAAGGCTCATCATAATTACATTAGCCAAGATTAAAATGAAGGAGAGAATCCTAGAAGCAGCAAGACATAAGGGGACAGTCACCTACAAAGAAGTTCTCATCAGACTGTCAGCTGATTTCTCCAAAGAGACCTTAGAGGCAAGAAGAGGCTGGAAAGAAGTATTCCAAGTCATGAAATCTAAAGACCTAGAACCAAGATTGCTCTATCCAGCAAAGCTTTCATTTAGAATGGAAGGGCAGATAAAGTGCTTCTCAGATAAGGTCAAGTTCATCATCACCAAGCCCTTATTATATGAAATGTTAAAGGGACTTATCTAAGAAAAAGAAGATAAAAATACGAACAGTGAAAGGACAGCAAACTCACACTTATTATTAAGAACCACACCTAAAACAAAAGCAAACTAAGAGGACAGCTAGATCAGGAGCAGAACCATAGAAATGGAGATCACATGGAGGGTTAGCAACAGGGTAGTGGGAGAAGGAGAAGGAGGGAGAAGGTATAGAGAATAAGTAGCACAGATGGTAGGTAGAAAACAAACAGGGGGAAGGGCAAGAATAGTATGGGAAATATAGAATCTAAAGAATTTGCGACACATGGACATAAACTAAAGGGGGGGGGATGGTGTGGGACCGGGTGTGCAGGGTGGAGGGGAATGAAGAGGGGGAAATGAGAGAACTGTAATGGCATAATTAATAAAATATATTTAAAAAACCCAAAACAGAGACTTCCGCCAAGATGGAGGTATAGGTGGATGTGCCGTGCCTTCTCACACAACCAAGTTTAGGGACAACTAAATATTAGCAACAGAAAACACAGCCAGAACACAGAAAATTGAACTTTTCGGAAGTCCGTTAACAACAAATTCTTCAGCCTGACCGGTAAGGGGCGAAACCAGCGGCTGGTGGGGGGTTGCACAGGAGGACTCGGTCAGACGGACTCAGGCGCGGAACCCAGACGCACGAATCCAGGCGCAGGGTTGGACCTAGTGAGCAACCGAGCAAGCCACCAGGTGAGTGACTGCGGAGGAGATAGTGGGGAAGCAGTACTGCGTGTTGACTGTGGTCGCCTATTTGTGCACGAGCTGACAGGCGAAGGAGTGGGCGGATGGACCGGGGCCGGCATCCCCGCGGCTAGCGGCAGTAGAGGATACCGCCATTTCCCCCGCTCTGACCACGCCCCCACATACAGCATCACAAACCAGCGACGTGGGAGTCCAAGGCACCGCTTCTCACATTTAAAGGGCCAGAACAGACCAAAAATGTCACAAGTTCTCAAAGCCCCAGAGCCCATAGATCTAAGCGATGAAGAAATAGCAAAACTCTCAGACGCACAGTTTAAAACACTGGTCATCAGGATCCTCACAGAACTGGTTGATTATAGCCACAAATTAGAGAAACATATGAAGGCAAAACTAATTGAAATGAATGGAATTGCACAGGAAACCAATAGCGATGAAAAGGAAACTGGGACTCAAATCAATGGAGTGGACCTGAAGAAAGCAAATAATGGCCAAACAGAAAAGAGTCAGGAAGCAAGAATTCAAAGAAATGAGGAGAGTCTTAGGAACCTCCAGGACATCTTTAAACGCTCCAACATCCGAATTATAGGGGTACCAGAAGGGGGAAAGGCACAGCCACCAGTGGAAAACTTATTTGCACAAATAATAAAGGAAAATTTCCCCAATCTGGCAAAGGAAATAGACTTCCAGGAAATCCAGGAAGCTCAGAGTACCAAAGAAGTTGGACCCAAGAAGGAACACACCAAGGAACATCATAATTACATTAGCCAAAATTAAAATGAAGGAGAGAATCCTAGAAGCAGCAAGAGCTAAGGGGACAATCACCTACAAAGGAGTCCCCATCAGACTGTCAGCAGATTTCTCAAAAGAGACCTTACAGGCAAGAAGGGGCTGGAAAGAGGTATTCCAAGTCATGAAATCCAAAGACCTACAACCAAGATTGCTCTATCCAGAAAAACTTTCATTTAGAATGGAAGGACAAATAAGGTGCTTCTCAGATAAGATCAAATTCAAGGAGTTCATCATCACCAAGCCCTTATTATATGAAATGTTAAAGGGACTTATCTAAGAAAAAGAAGTTAAAGAAACATGAACAGTGAAAGGACAACAAACTCACAGTTATTAACAACCACACCTAAAACGAAAGCAAACTAAAAGGACAGCTAGATCAGGAGTGGAAACATAGAAATGAAGATCTCAAGGAGGGTTAGCAACAGGGGAGTGGGAGGAGGAGATGGGGGGAGAAGGTACAGAAAATAAGTAGCATAGACAGTAGATAGAAAATAGACGGGGGAGGCAAGAATAGCATGGGAAATATAGAATCTAAAGGACTTGAGACACATGGTCATAAACTAAAGGGGGGTAATGGTGGGGATGGGGGGGGTAGGGTGGAGGGGAATGAAGGGGGGAATAGAACAACTGTAACAGCATAATCAATTTAAAAAAATAAAAATTTAAAAAAATAAAATAAAAAACCCAAAACAAAAAGGAGCCAAGGCAGGGGGACCCCCGGAACTGGAAGGAAGGAAGAGCTGTTTCCTCCCTACTTTTTTATCCTGATAGGTAAGCTGTGTATAATTATAATCTTAAAACAATAAAAAAAGCAGTATGCAACTAGAAAAACTAATAATACCAAAAATTTATACAACCAAGTCGGAAGAGTGCTCCAGCAAAATCCCGCACTGGGGAGCTGAGATTTTTCTTCTCACTGATCTGTGCCTACCAGCGAGCGGCTCCTATTGATTCCTACAGAATCCCAGATGGGACAAAGAACTGGAGTGATAGGCAGGGGCTCCTGGTTACACACACCAGGAACCTACCCCTTGTGGAGTCCTTGACTCCCCGGAGACACTGCTTACCAGGTATTTGTTACATAAATCTCAGTACAATGTCGATTTATCTCAGATTTGGTCTGTAGACCACCAGATGGACAAAGGACAGAAACAAGGCAAGCTTTCTGAGCACAAATCCAATCTCTTTCTGACAGGTGGGGAAATGGGAAGAACCAAGGTCCTGGGACCAAACATTTCCCTCAGCAGAATTGCCAGACAGCTGCTTGAGATATTGACTCAGGTTTAGGGCTTCCCTGTCCAGGCAAACTGTAGGACTCCCCTGAACAGAGTGCCCCAAAGCCATCATGGTGGAGTTGCCAGGAATTGAAACCAGAGAGCAATGGTGTCTGGCACTTGTGCTGCCTGTCATCACTCAGCCAAAAAGTAGAGAGGGATTGGATATAGGTGTGGTTTAATTAATGTCACATGTCAGCAGTGTGACAAGGTGGCCGATGAAAACCCTAAATCCACCTGCCCTGGAGGTTTCAGAAGTAAGTTCATATGAGGGAAATTCCTGGGGAGGAGCACTGACATGCTATTTTTCTTGAGAGTAAGAGGCCGGATAGCTGAAAGGGGAGTCACAGAGCTTTTTCCCAAACTCTCTGCATTTTCCCTTTGTTCAACTGTTACCCCTCCCTCCACACTGGCAATCCTCTCTTCCCCCACACCTTTGGTTTATGGCCAGCAAAGCTACGTATTACCTGGTTAGGGGAGGAGAGGTATAAACCATTTGCTCCCCAGTGTCCTTGGGGGAGACAAGGTCTTGTGATTCACCAGCGGGCTGTAAGTTGCTTCAACTGTTTGGCTTTCTTTCCTTTTCTTGTCTCAGTTTCCCATCCTACTGGCCCAGGAAATTTCATAGCTTCTTACTATCCTGTCTCATTCCCCCCTCAGAGACTTTCATCCCTAAAATGTTTTAGCGGTGATAAGGGAGGAAATTCTCTTATCAGTAACTGCTTTCTGCTGTCAAAGGTCATGTGTGTTCCTGCCATGTAAGGTGTGGAAGTCTCTTCCTGCTGATCTAAGGGACACAAGGGAATGGGGTCTGAGACTCAAACAGAGAGGCTGTGAGCTGATTCTTCCAAAGTAGAGGTAGGCTGGAATCCTCAGAGCATCATTATTTTGATATGGAATGGTTGTATGTAATTCAATCATCTAGTCCTGACAACAAGTCCCTTCACCCAAACCACTGAGTCTCATTTCAAGAGGTGGTGATGCTGGTGTGCTTCTAAAGGGAGTCCTATACTGTGTAAGTAAGCAACTAGGGGAAATAAGGTCATGGTGTGCACTCTATGAAAATAGGAAGAACACAAAGGTTAATGAACACAGCAAATCGTGAACCAGTTCTGAATCTGCAAGAGTGTTGGATGAGAAGACTTCCAAATGCAAGGCTTTTGCTGGAATGAAATTCAGCATGACGATCTGCTAGGTCCTCTTTATCTGTAGTTGAAATGTCTCTGGTGACACTGTATGGTTGACACTGCATCAGTAGTTCTCAATGATTCCAATTCAAAGGACGGAAGAAAAATGAAGCTTTAGTTTCAAAGGACACTAGAAAATTCAGGATCCAATGCAGTTTGAGGGTGACAATTAGGCGTTGTGATTTCCATTGAAACACAATTTCTCTCCCTAAAATCACCCATAAAATGAATATGTAACAAGGCAGGAGGTGGCAGGTAGCTGATGAGGGCTCCCAAGGGTGGGGCCTCCCTGAGGAGGGACCTGTGACCCGAGATAGAGGACTAGTGAAGCCAAGTGCTCGTGGGGGAAGGGCGCTCCCTATGCAAAGGCAGCGCAGCAGGACCCGCCAGACCCCTGAGGAACAGCGGGGAGGCTGGTGTGGCTCCAACAGACTGATGACAGGGAGAAGGAGGGACAGGAGGGAGGATGTCCCCAGGCCTTTGGCACCAGGCAACAGAGGGAAGGAGATGGTTCAAGGCTGAGCTGAGGCAGGGCTAGAGGGTGGAGGGAGGAGGAGAGCAGGCTGGAGCGGGCTCCTGGAGCTCACGTGGGGAGAGTGGAGTCCCCTTCACGTGTAGAGGAACTGGGCTGTGACCACATGAGGTCCCCAGCGATGGTAGTGGGGTGCTTGGCATTGCCGCGGTTAGAGAAAGACCCTGCCTGGTTGGAGCTGCTTCAAGGGAGGGTCCAAGGGGGTGAGCGTGGACCCAGAGTGCAGACGAGTTGAGTTCTCTGAGCTTCACTGTAGAACAGTGACTCTCAGCCAGGCTGGTTCTGCCCCCAGGGGACACCCAGCAAGGTCACCACTGATAATTGATTGACTCCTCTGGGGGGATGGGGACAAATTAGCATCTGGTGGGTTAGGGCCAGGGATACTGGTCACCACAGTAGGGCCACAGGGCGGCCCCACCCCAGGAAATGATCCACAATGTGAGCATGTCCACAGTGCTCTGGAGCAACCCTGGAGGCAGGAGGAATGTGCCCTGGACGGCCGGTGGGAGGGGGCAGGGGACAGCAGAGCAGGGGACCCCGGGGAGGCAAGAGAGCAAGGGGAATCTGGGTGTCAACACCAGGTTAGTTAACTTACAAGGGTGGGCCTCGGTGTGGGCCAGGGTTGGAGGCCACCCATACACGCTCCAGGTGTCAGGTAACAACCCTCTTCCACATCCCCCTGTATCGGACCTGCCTTCTGAGCATCCAGGCCTTGGCTAGGATTCCACCAGGGACAGGGAGCTCACTTCCTATTGTGCCACCAGGCTGGTGTCTGGTGGGCTCGGGGTTGTGGACGGTGCCTGTGGTCTTGTCTGGCGTCTTAGTAGCCTCAGCACTTCAGACCACCAGGGGGTCTCCCCACAATAGTCCGACTCCCAGTTTTTGGCTGAGTTCCAAGCCAGGGAGGCCCGAGAGGCCCAGGGCAGCCTCTCAGCCACGTGTTTGTCACACTCACTCCCCAGAGCCGAGGCCTGCACCTGCCGACCTTACAGCCATGGAAGGCCTGGCAGCCCCACCCCGGAGGCCCCGCTCCAGGAAGGTGTCCTGCCCCCTCTTGGGCAGCAATGGGGAGCTGGTAGGGAGAGGGGGCGTGGCAGGAGCTGGGCTGGGGTTGCTTCCGGGCTCAGCCTCAGGACAGGGCTGCTTGGGTGTTCCCAGCCCAGCCCAGCCCAACTCCTTCCCTTCCAGTCTCATTCCCTGAGCCCCTCCCCACTGGGCTCTTCAGTCCCCAGCACCAACCCTGAACGTTCCAGCTTCTCATCTCAGACAGGTCACGGTAGGTGTAATTCTCACGTTCTCCGTTCTGGTTCTGGGTGTGCTCTCAGGGATACGACCAAGGCCCTAGAGGCAGAGCATAGGTTTGGAGCCTGAAAACCGTGCTCACTCTCTGTCTGCCCCTCCTTCCCTCCCCGCACCCCCAGGGATCTCCCGGGGCCCAAGCCCTGTGGTCCTGGGCTCCCAGGATGCCCTGCCCGTGGCCACCGTCTTCACCGAGTACGTCCATGCCTACTTCCGTGGCCACAGCCCCAGGTACGTGGTGCCGGGGCACAGTGCAGACAGTGAGAGGCAAACAGGGCTCCCTGGGGGCTGGGCGCCTGGGTTCCAGCGTGGACAGACTTGAGGTATGTTTCCTGACCCTTTTTAGTGTGGAAGGGCCAGGAACACTGAGCTGAGCAGCCAGACCTCTCTCCTTCGGGGCCAGGGGAGCCACGGAGGGTGTTTGAGCAGGGCCGGGCATTATTGTGTCCGAAGTGCAGAGCAAGTCCTCCTACGCTGCTGTGGGCACCAACCTGAAGGGAAGAAGACTGGAGACCAGGGCCACAGAGGGGGTGGCTGAAGGGAGAATTGAGGGACCAGGCATGGTCTGGGGGCAGTGTCCAGAAGAAAAGAATTTCATGTCAAACCAAGCAGAGAAAGAGCATTAGACCCAAAACCCAATCCAAGGACTTTTATAAAACTGAGCATGCGCTATGAGCTTCCTTGTGGCCTAGGGGAAAAAAGAACTAGAGAAGGAGGTTTCCTGCCTCCACCAGCCCAGTGTGGCTTCTGCCTGGTGCCTGGATTGCTATCCAGGCAGGGACCCAAGGGGAGGAGGTGGGGGGTAAGGATGCTGGGCATAGTGAGGGCCTTACTGCTTCTGCAGACCCAGGGAGCCACGGGCTACAGTGGAGCCAGGAGTGAGGGGCCGTGAGGTGCGGGGAGGAGCCCTGAGCCAAAGCCCTGTCTCCTCACCTCTCACCCAGCTGCCTGGCACGAGTAACTGGGGAGCTGACCATGACCTTCCCAGCGGGCATCGTGCGTGTATTCAACGGGACCCCACCCCCGCCCGTCCTCAGCTTCCGCCTGGTGCACACGGCCCCCATCGAGCACTTCCAGCCCAGCGCCGATCTCCTCTTCAGGTACTGTTGGGAGGTGGGCGTCAGCAACGCGGGGTCCCAGAGGCTAGTGGGGGCCCAAACCCCCCAGCTGTAACTTCCTCCTCTGCCTCCCAAATTTGCTGTGTGTCCCTGGGTCAAGTCCCTGCCCATCTCTGAACCTCACTTTCCTGCCCTCCTTTGCTTCTCCATCAAGCACACTTAGCTGGGCCCAAGGTGACCCAGAAAATCAGCATCTTTAGGAAGCCCTTGGGGTAGGTGGGATGCTGGGGACCCTGAGAAGGCTTCTTCTGAGTGTGGGAGTGATTGTTCGGGGTGTCTGCAGTGACCCCTCCCAGACTGACCCTGAGACCAAAGACTTCTGGCTCAACATGACAGCCCTGACAGAAGCACTGCAGCGCCAGGCAGAGCAGAATCCAGCCGCCTCCTACTACAACGTGGTGCTGCTGCGCTACCAGGTGGGCTGGGTGGATGGGATGCAGGGGCAGGGAGGGCATGGTGCAGGGGAGTGTGAGGATGGGCAGGGTTAGTGTTAGGGTCAGGAAGGAATGATGGGGGGGGGGGGCAGAGAGTAAATGGTGGTGGGGCAAGCAGAGTAGGAAGCTGGGCTTCCCAGTGCAGATGACATCATTATGCCAATTAGAAGCGCCCCTCCCAGGACTCCACACTGGCCCCATGCACAGACTTTATTAGCATGAGGCCCGCTCCTGCCCTCTGCTGGGAGTGTGATGCAATGCAGACTCCTATCTGCAAAGTCTGCAGGAAAGGGCCTCTTGGGGCAGTGTGTGCAAGGCAGACCCAGCTTGTTGACAGTGTGGCTTGGCAGGGCGGCATGGCCCAGTCTGTGTCTCTCCCCTCTTCTCACTCTTTCTAGTTCTCCCGCCCGGGACCCCAGTGTGTGCCTCTGCAGCTGAGCGCCCACTGGCAGTGTGAGGCGACCCTCACTCAGGTCTCGGTGGAATACAGCTACCGGCCGGGTGCCACGGCTGTGCCTACACCACTCACCAATGTCCAGGTCCTGCTGCCTGTGGGGGAGCCTGTGACCAATGTCCACCTGCAGCCAGCCGCTATCTGGTAAGGGCACGTGGAAGGCCGGGAGAGGCTCAGCAGTGCCCCCTGAGTCCCCAAACCTCCCACTGATGAAGCAACTAACGGTCCGCCCTGGACCTAACGGGTCCCTGTGTGCTCACCCTGCTTACACCCGGGAGTGCTGTTATTAACAGTAATACTATCTGGCATGGAGAGCTGCCTCCTTGTCAGGTGTGTCCCACGGGCTCTGCATACACTCATTAGCTTCAGGCTCCTAGCAGTCGCTCCAGGCATAGACTGCCATCATGGCCATTTGCGGAGGGGACACGTGGGGGGAGGGAAGCTAAATTGCTCTTCTAAGGTCACAGCACCATTTGAACCCAGCCCAATGTCGCATTATGTTTTTTTGTCAAGGATAGAACCTACGAGTGAGAAGCCAGATATATAGGACCAAATGCACACCATCTAAAAAGGCTGAAAAGCTGTGGGGCGCTTGGGGAGCAGCTGCTCCACACCCCACCCCTGTTTCACAGATGGGGAAATGGAATCCAGGGAGGGGGCGTGGCTTGCTCAGGTCACGGAGCTGAGAGGTGACTGAGCTGGAACCCTGGGTTCTAAATGTTGTCTCTGGGGTAGACTCACCAAGCTTCTCTCTTGATGCCAGGAACCTGGAGGAGAAGCGGTTCCTATGGAAGCTTCCAGATGTGTCCGAGGCAGGGGGTGAGTTCATGGTTATATGTGAGGGCTCAGAGGGCTCACCTGGGAGGGCTCATTTAAACTGCAGAGGATCGGGGATGTGCTGGGGTAGGGAAGTGTGGGCCTGTGGGCGGGCTCGGAAGGGCTTTGATGCAGCAGGGGGAGAGGCCCCCTGGGAGTGGGCACAGCAGTGCAAAGGCCCTGAGGCAGGACTCCTTTACAAACCACACAGAGTCTCATGGGGCCAAAGGACAAGAGTTCAGGGGCACAAGAGTAGGTCAGAGGGGCAGAGAGGCCACAAGTCAAAGGACTTGGGTGGAGGGCCCAAGGAGGAGCCTGGGTCACAGAAGATCTGGGGTCAGGGATGGGGCACAGCTGACCTCAGGCCTCCCCAGGCTCTGGCCGCCTGTCTGCCAGCTGGGAGCCACGCTCAGGGCCCAGCACTCCCAGCCCCGTGGCCGCTCAGTTCACCAGTGAAGGGGCCACTCTGTCCGGCGTGGACCTGGAGCTGGTGGGCAGTGGCTACCGCATGTCACTGGTAAAAAGAAGGTTTGCCACAGGTATGCCCCACCCTGCTGCTGCCATGCCCCTGGGAGCCAGGGCGCAGGAGTTGTGGGAGGCATTTGGGGCGTTCGGGAAGGATGGGTAGGTATCGGGGTATGAAGACCCAGGATGGGGGCGTCCCAGGCAGGGAGGGGTGGGCAAGATCCCAGTGGGAGGGGTGGAGAAGGCAGATGAACGTTTCTGGGTTGTCCCCTGGAGGGTGGGTGTCCTTGCAAGAATCCGAGGCTTGGAGCCTGAAGCCCCACAACAGTGACACACTCACTCGGTTCTCGGGCCCCCTCAAGGGGCTGCTGGGTCCATGGGCCAGTGAGTTAATGGGTGTTTTGAGGAAGATTGGGGGATCCCAGGGTAGAAACAAGTGACCTTCCCCACTCACGGCCCTGCCCCCCCAGGAATGTATCTGGAGAGCTGCTGAGCCTGGGAGGCTGACCGGCCCGCTGGGCCCAGCTCTGCACCTAGTCCTGGTGCTGGGTGACTGGCCCCTGCCTGCCTGCCGGGCCCAGGGGCCAGCACCTGGCCTCCTCCGAGGCCCTGACTCTGTGGAGAGGAGCCCCACGCCCAGCCTGGCTGAGCCTGAGATTCACTCCCGCTCACACCAATTCCCACACAGGTCCTTGGACTTTTAATGTTCTTTGAATAAACACTTTATTTTCTAATAAAATAATTTTCCTGCTGCTGGAAGTTTCCTTCCCATCACCAGAGAGGAGATGAAGAGAAGATGGATGCCCGGGGGAGATCTAACATCCATAATGTTCCCTGTCACCCCACCCCCTCCCACCTAGCCTGTGAACAGTGATAGTAGGACAGAGCAAGCCAGACACGGACACTCCCAGCCCCATGGACTCCCCCAGCCCCATGGACTCAGCTGGGCTGGTGGAAGGAAGGAGGACTGGAGGAACCCAGAGGCAGGTGTCAGGAAGACATCCAAAGGAGAGGGTATTCTAAATGGGGCTTGGAGGTGTGAGTAAGAGTTTGCAAGCTGCAGATGGGCACCCCATGCCGAGACATGGTGAGTTCCATGAGACAGCAATTAGTCCATGAACACCAGTTGAGTACCCACTGTATGCCAGGCAGTAAGGAGCCGACTGTGAGTGGGAAAACGCTCTTGGAAGCCAGAGGGCTGTGAGCCAAAAGCCTGGCTTTAGAGCCTGCTTGGTGGCTGTGTGACTTTGAGCAAGTGACTTGACCTCCCTGGGCCTCAGTTCCCTCATCTGTAACTCACCCCACTGGGTGGCTGAGGGGAGGTCTCACACTCTGACAAGACCCTGGCACAGGAGAAGCACCCCAGCAGTGCCGGCAGCTTTTCTGTGATGGGAGCTAGGGTGGGGGCAGGCCTCAGTGCAGGTGGGCGAGAAGGGGCCTGCTTGGGGCCCAGGACAGGCCCGGTCACCAGCACACTGGCGGGGAGCAGGTCTGAGCTCAGTGGAAAGTCCTGCGTCCTAATGGACAAGTGAGGACCCTGCATGCCTGGGCCTCAGGCTGTGCAGATGCCAGGGACCAAGCGGGGGCCAGGTGGGAGTCAGGAAGAGGGGTTTGGCCTGTGGTCTCTGATCCTCACCCCCTACCTTCCAAAGAGAGAAGGGGGGCCCTGACTGGTGTGGCTCAGTGGGTTGGGCCTTTTCCCACAAACAGAGAGGTCACTCATTCAGTTCCCAGTCAGGGCACATGCCTGCCTGCGGGCCAGGTCCCAGCAACCCTGGTTGGGGTGGGCAGGAAGCAACAGATGGATGCTTCTGTCACACCTCGATATTTCTCTTCCCCTTCCTCCCTCACTCCTCCTGTCTCGAAAAATAAATAAATGGAAATATTGAAAAACAAACAGAAAAGGGGGTTCTGGCTGTGCCTCAGTGTCTCTGTCTGGGTAGTTGGGAGCAGTCTTGCTGGGGCAGCTCAGTGCACACCAACACTGCTTTTAGATGGGGGCGGGGCACCAGTCAGCCCAGAGTAAATGGGGCGTCTCAGGCACCGACTGCTCAGCCACACACTTTCCTGCCGCCAACAGGACCTCGGAGCCAGTGGAGGCGGCCCACCCCACTGCCTGGCTGCCCCTCTGCTGGGTCCCCTTGGGGGGAACCTCAGCCCCCCCAGGGGCCAGAATCAACCATCTGACCCTGTGGGTGCTTCACCTCCATCCCCAGTCTTTGCACACACGTGCGTGGGTGCAGGCGTGCCCGTGTGTACTCTCAGTGGTCTTAGGACCCCCCAGACGGTCCCTTTGCTGGTCCTATGTGACTGAGTGTCTGGGGTGCCATGTCCATGTCATGGGCCCCTGCCTGGGGACACACTGTTCATCACCACCTCTCAGTGGCTTGGCTTGGCTTTCTCGGGTCACAAGTGAGGTTCGGTATCTTGTAACACAGAAGGTGTTTGTGAAGCGTGGGCCCCTAGCTGCCTGGACATGCAGAGCTGTGTGACATGGGCCAGGGGGAAGGATGGGACACCCTTTGACTTGCCAGGGCAGCCGGCTGGCTTTTTATGGTTCCCCAGCTCCTACACCTGGGAAGCCCAAACTCACAGTGGGGCCCGGAGGCATTAGGTCACTTGCCTGGGGCCACCCCACTTGGTGAGTAGCCCAGGTGTGACCTCTTAAACAAGTAATATGACACTCACATACAAAAATACGTCATCTACGTGAGGGAAGAGCCGGCACTTAGGGGAGTTCTTGTCCTCTGAGTAAGCGTGAGAACCCTGCACCCTAGAGCCCTGCAGGAAGACTTCGTGTCCATAAGAAGCTCCATGGTTCTAACTTCCCTTTCTCTTAACTTCCTCTTCCCTCCTAGAAACAGTCCTGTCTACCTTGGCACGCAGGCCAGAGTGAGCATTAGACTAGCCGTGCCTGTGCTCACTTGGTTGCCACCCTCTCTTTTCCCCCAAACAAATCCTGGGGGACAAAACACCTAGTTGGTACCATTTTTCTGCTAACAAGCTCTAGTTCCAGAACATTCCATTACCCCCAAAGGAGAGCCCATTCCCATGAGCAGGCACTCCCTGCTCCCCTCCCCCAGCCCTGACAACCTAATCCAGCTTGCTGTCCCTAGGGATGTGCCTGTTCTGGACAGTTCGCGTAAGTGGAATCAGACCACATGTGGCTTTTGTGTGTGGCTCCTGCCACCCAGCAGGATGTTTTCAGGTTCATCCACACTGCAGCCTGTGTCGGTGCTTCGGTCCTCTTTGTGGTCGAGTGATGTTCCCGTGCGTGTGTGCGTGAGCCACGCTTTGTTCACCCCTGCTCAGCTGGTGGACACCGGGGCTGTTCCTGTCCTTTGGGGATGTGCCCAGCGCAGCTCTGAACGCGGGCTGCAGGGGTGGGTGTGCACGCCTGTTCTGGGTTGTTTCAATGGGGCCCTAAGAGTGTGATTGCTGAGTCGTGTGGTGACAACAGTCCAGGTCTGAACCAGGGCCCTGCAGCCTCAGAATCTGCCCTGGGAGCTTCGGTGTCACTCTGGGGTTCTCCCTGCCAGGAACCCCTGACAAGAAAAGCCTCAGCTTCCTCGGGTGGGCGGGGCTGGCCCTGTACAGAACTCACTTCCTCCACCCTGGATGCAGGATTAGGGTGGTGCGAATTTCCCAGGGAACCGCAGGAGGGGCTCTGCCTGGTGTGGGGGACCAGCTGGACCACTCACTTCCTCAACACCAGGCCTTTGGGCTGGATTCTGTCTCCTTCATGGGGCCCAGGAACTCAGGGATCCCCGGGCTCCACAGGGCCGGGGAGGGCTCCGAACTGAAATCATAGTGAGTGAGAATGGGCGTCCAGGGCTCCAGATGGGGAAACTGAGGACCTGTCCCCACCCCCCGAAAACAAACACGGTGGGAGACTGGAGCCATCGCCTGAAGCCCTGTGGACTCAGATCTGACTCCAACAGTCGACACTACAAGCTTCCAGACACGCAGATGCCCACAGCACCGGGTGGGGATGGGTTCGAAACTTCAGCAAGTCCCAACCCCAAGAATCTCGAGATCCGACTTGCAGCTTGCAGAATCATTCCGAATGCTAGCCGGTGGCCTGCGGGGTCTCAGGTCTCGGGGGTTTTGAGGGTCGGCAACTCTCCGATCCCCTGCAGAGACCTGAAAGGCCACTGGATTCAAACTGCTTCCTGTGCCCTTTCTTCACCGAACACAAGGTGGACCAGCGCTGGGGGAGGCGAGGCCCTATGCCAGGGTCTGGCAGGGCTCGGCTTGCACACCACCAGCGGAGGGGAGCTCACTATCTGACTGTGGGTTGGTCTCAGTTAGGATCGTGTTCCGCAGACGACCGGGAGGCCACGAAGGGCAAAGGAGGTGAATGAAGTCTGCGGTTCAGGGGGAAGGGGCGGGGCCGGGAAGGGAAGAAGGAGGGGCCAGAGGGCGGGGGGAAACCCCTGCAGTGCAACCGGGAAATTCCGCCCAGCAGGTGGCGGGGCAGGGTGGGGAGGGGGGGGGGAGGGCTGGCCGGCGGGAGGCGAGGCCTGGAGGGGGCTGGAGGGAGGGGCGGGGACTCGCGCTCAGGTGAAACTCTTCCTCCTGGTCGCCAGCGAAGAGGAGCAGGGGTCGCAGACTGGACCGTGTCTGGGGGTGAGTGTTGGGGTTTCCCGCGGACCTGGTGGACCCCCCCCCTCGGTGGAAGGGAGGGAGTGCGGGTTCTTGGGGGAACTCTGCCAGGTGCCTCGGGTGGGGTGTCAGCGTGCGTTTACTGTAAACCTGCCAGGAGATGCTGGAGCCCATCTCCTTACCTGGTCTCAAAATCCCTGTAGTCCTCCGCCATCCCTGATAGTAACCCCGGCTTTTGTAAGGCTGACTCAGACCTGGCCGGGAAGGGAGTCTCCCCCATGCCTGGGGAGGGAGGGGGGAGACAGAGACCACCTGGGTCTCTGGTATCCCTGTTCTCTGCAATGCCCCACGGACACTCGAGGTGACCCTAGACTCCTGCCCTCCCACCTCCAAGTATAGGGTAGGATCAGAAAAAGTGGAGGGTGAGGAGTGGAGGGCTCTCTGTGCGCTCTGGCCATTACCAGTACTTTTGTGGTTGGTGCCGAGATTGTTAGGTGTTAAGGTGATCAGTGACTGGAGCTGGGAAAGGATTCACCAAGAGAAGAGAGTGCAGACAGTAAAGTTTTCATTCACTCTCCAAGAGAGGAGAGGGGCTGGTGTGGAGAGACCTTTTATTGGATTTTAACTAGATTATAAAAGGTCAGGGGTGGCTGTTGGGTGACCTGTGTGTTATTGGGGTCCTTCAGCACAGGAGGTTTCCAGAGGTTTTTCATAAGCTGCAGTTTGCTCCAATATGTTATCTTTGCCTGAGGCTGGGGGTGGAGTGCCACTTTTTGCCCTTGTTTTTCCAGTAGTGCTCCAGTCCTGGGGACATAAATTCAGACGTGTGAAATGGCAGTAGTGTTCCATAAGGGCGTAGGGCTGCTCAGCCAATGGTGCTGGTTTCTTCCTTTCATCGGGGGCACTGATTTGGGGAGGAACAGACTCTGGGGCCCCAGGTGCGCTTTATTACTGTTACCTGAGGGAGCAGCTGCTGACTGCCCAGGCCTACCAGGCACTGGGCCACATTCAGACCTGAAGACTCCAGCTCATGGCTTCCCCTGGGTTCAGGCCCCTGCTGAGCCAGTGCCTACCAGTGTGGCTCCTGGTCCCTAGACATGCCTCAGTTTCTCCCTGTGAGGGAGGACAATGCCCCCCTGCCATGAGGATGCACAAGGTGTTCAGCAGGCAGAAGCTTTTATGATGAGGGTGCTCCTGGACACTGGGGACCTCCAGTGAGTGACTTTAGGTCTCTGAGCCTCACTTTCCCTAGGATGTCCAGCAGAGCTCACGATATGGGTGACAGGGCTGAAGGTGACATTGATCATAAGCTCTATGGCCATTAAGTGGGTGCCCAGCGAACTTCAGCCATTACTGTAACCATATGAATGATAACTATTATTACTGTTATTACAATGACCTCATTAGCCAGGTTCTCAACCGACTTTCCCTCTGGATCAGACTTTTTCTCATGGCCACTTTTCAGATGGGAAAACTGAGGATCCCACGCCCTGCCTGGCCCCGGGACTCCTGGCATCTAGATCTGGGATTCGGTGCCCAGGGGGAGTTGGTCAGATATGGAGCTGGTCCTGGGGCCACCTCTTCCTCCCACTGCCTCGGGGGCTTCAGGGCAGCAAGGCTGCTGCCGCACCAGGCAGCGCTGAGGGTCCGAAGGAGAAGGTCTTGCCCTGCATCAGTTAGCAGCGGCCCCCATCTGGCCTAGGGGAGTGGCTGTGTTTGCCCAGCCCAGCCCTGACACCTATGTATCCTTCCCTTTCCTATAACCCAACGGTTGGTGACTCCTGCCAAGTACTCTGGGCGTGGAGATTCCAAGGAGGCCTCAGAGATTCTCTGCTCCAGGTTAGAGTTCAGGGAATCCAGACAAGCTGGCTTGGCATCAGGAGGTAAGATGTCACTGGATGACTTCCTACCACCACTTCTAAGGCCCAGATTAGAGCAGTGATGAGATGCCTGCACTTCTCCTGCCTTGTGAATCAGGGAGGATGCCCAGTGTTATGCCTCCTGATGGGAGTCTGGCTGGGCTTGATTGCCCCACAATGATGAGGAGCTCACTACTTACATGGCCAACTAAAGGCAGTCCCACCAGACAGTGGTTAAAGGCAGGGTTTGGGTTCTCATTTGACTTTCCTGGAATGACTACCTTGACCTCTTTAGCCTCAGTTTCCTTATCCATGAAAACGAGGCTACCTCAGCCCTA